GGGGACCGCGGGTGGGGGGGGGTGTATGTGGTGGTCCTGGGGGGCGGTTTTCACACTTTGGCAGTTTGTTGAACTCGGACCACCAACCCACAGCCCCAGTCGCGCGCGCGCGCCCCGCGGGACCGCGTTCAATTTTTTCGCACACGCGCGCGTGCAGCGCGTTTAAACGCGATTGAACGCGGGGCACGGGGGATTGAACGCGCGCGTTTGAACGTGAACGCGCGTTCACGGCGTTCAACCGGTTACACAGAGCGCAAGCACTTTTTCTGGCTCGCCTCGCCCCGCCTGCCAAGGCTGCCATATCCCTTGCTCCACCTTTCATTTCTGCATCATCACAGCCGCTTCTTGTTCTTCTTGCCAGTTCTTGGCAATGGCCAGGGGACAGTAAAGGAATAGAAGGCTATAGAAGCCCAAGAGGAGCACTTTTTTATGGGGAAAAAGGAAGCAGCAAGCAGCTAACGGAGCGGAGTCAAGCGGTCCCCTGACGAGGTAAGTGGCTGCGGCTACCGTCTTCACCCGAATAGAATGCCCGGTCATTATCGCTGCACCTGGACTGAAAAGTGCCCCAAATACACCTAGAATGACCGGGCGTTGTATTCGCGTGAAGACGGTAGCCACAGCCACTTGCCTCGTCAGGGGACCGCTTGACTCCGCTCCGTTAGCTGCTTGCTGCTTACTTTTTCCCCATAAAAAAGTGCTCCTCTTGGGCAGCACGGTAGCCAAAACACTTGGGGGATAACCCGGGTAAGGCAGCACGAGTACAGGCCATCCTTACGGTAATGAACTTGGCTCAAGGCAGGGAGCAGCACCACGGAAATGACAGTAGAGAGAATTGATTGAAAGGGTTTGTTTTGATATAGACTGGAACATTAATTACATTAATTACAGGAGAAAAGAGATTCGAACCCTTAGCCTATGGTTTTGGTCCTTTGGTCCTTTTGGAGACCCTTGTTCTACCATTGGATTTTGGAACTACTCTCCTCACAAAACAGAGTGTGATGATTGTTTTATGCAACTTTATGGAGTTTGCTGCTTGCACCTATTTCTGTGCGTGTGTGTGTGGTGACCCCCGCGTGACCCCCTTTCACGACAGGCAGGGGTCACCATCTTGAGTTCGTCAATTTGGGTGTCTCCAACCAGGCGCTTTTGAGGGGGTGGGTGTACTGGGAATGCGATAGAGGTAAGCCATGGTGATTTACATTCGGCCTGAAACAGGGGTGGGACATCAGGAGGGTGTCGTGGCCATGGGATGGAGGCAAGCAGTAATGATGGCACTACAGCTTGAGGTATATCGAAGGGGTGTGCTTGAATCACCTTGAATGAATGAATAATATGTGTGTGTGTGTGTGTGTGTGTGTGTGTGTGTGTGTGTGTGTGTGTGTGTGTGTGTGTGTGTGTGCTCACGGGAGTTGCCAGCCCTGAGAATGGTAGCTATTGATGAGAGTTGCCTTTGAACTGACTGGCACTTGGTACAATCATTGGAAGAGTGATGTAGATTTGACGAACTGCTGTGGACAGACAATACTTGGATTTATTTATTTCAATGAAAAGCTTGCTTTGAGATTATCAATTTATCATCATGCAATAAGGAGGGGAAGGGAATTGAGACTGTGGAAGAACAGAGGGAAGAAACCAGTGAAACAAAAGTTACAAAAGAAAAGTGATGGACAAAAGGAGTAGGGGCAGACAGTTTTGGCACAATCTCCTCCGAGTCAGCAAACCATGAGGCTGAACGCTCGACAGTCTGCAGAGTGCCCATCCATAGTGATGTTTTGAGTCATGATCTAATCTCACCCTGTTGCAAGTGGACAGTCAGACAAGCAACAACACAAGCAGAGAGGGAAAGGGAGGCAGCAGTAAAGCATAGGAAATGCCGACGGCAATGAACTTCAAGTCTTCAAGGCTTCAAGGCAAATAGCAAGCCAACACGACAAGTAGCAGCCAGGCACAAAGCCGACCCAGCAGGTAGCAACTTAACTTCCAGCAGGGCAGGGAACAAGCATCAGGATTCAGGAGGGCAAGCAAGTGCAAAGACAGACGGCAGGACAAGCCCGTGACAAGGGCGGCAAGGGGGCAGGCAAGCCATAGGGGCACGCAGCAGGGAAGCAAGACAACATTATCAACATAAGGCTAGAGAACGGTCTGCCAAGCAAAACCGTAGGACTGACACTGTCTGACAGGGCAGCCCACACATACAGTAGTAGTAACAGTACGGACCAAAGCAGGCTATTGCTTAGTATGCTTACACACACCACAAGTAGAACTCTACAGAGTATCGGCTCAAGTTTTCGCTAACAGAAGTGGAGTGGTTTACTGTGTAAGCATACTAAGCACACACACACACACACACACACACAGACATAGAGAGAGAGAGAGAGAGAGACGTTCCCGCACTCAAAGATCAAGGAGAACACAGGGAAAGGAACACATCAGACATACAGTGCACCACGTAAAAAACGTACTGAAAAGAAAGAAGAGAAGGAAAGGACTCTTCGTCTCTTACCGAAAGTATACCCTTTTCTTTTTTTTTCTGTGTGTGTGTGTGCGCGCACGCACACGTGTGTGTGGTGTGTGTGTGTGTGTGTGCGTGAGCTCGTAAGCACCGAAACAATGTCTGTTTCTGACAGAAATCATGGTGATTGCACTTTATCATGTCTCTGTTGTGTGTCTCTTCGTTTTCTCCTGAAAGATCACAGGTAGGCTCCAGTTGATAACCTCAGTCTGGAACTGCTCAGGCCCAGGCTGTGGACATGGTCTTTGTGCGGATCGCTCCACCTTGGCTGAAGGATCAGGCGATCTACAATGAGAGGGTGATTGTATGGTCTGGTAAAAAACGAGGCATGTGATTCTGCTCTGACACATTACCACATTCCATCGTTTTCCATTTCATAAGTTCTGTCTACCAAAATGTGTACTCCATGAGAGCAGCGTGTGATGACTGAAAACAGTGAAAAGAGAGGTGCCTGCAACAGTGCAACTTTAACAGCACCAGGACTTGAAGCCTTTTTTGAAGGAGCTTTGTGGGGCCATTGTGGACGGGGGTGCCTCTGCCAGCCTCCTCCTAATGCTAAGAGGCTCTGCACAAACCAGGCCCGTCAGATCAAAGATCGTCGATCGAATTGGGCTTCTTCTTTTCTGCAGACCTTGGGTGCATCCAGTGCCATCCACACTGTGTAGCAAGGAAGTTATATTTATAGAGCTGACCTGCTGAGCCGGCCAGATTTTTTTCTAGATTTCTGTGGAAGAAAGATTCGACATTCGAAATTGTAAACAAGCCCCTCCCTTGTTTAACAAATTTGCGCATAATTTAGTCCACGAACTGTGTGCTTTTGG